TGCTGTTGCAGCATTCCTCATCTAAATGAGTACTTTTAATGATCATATAGAATCATATTAGAATCATATACTATAGTAAGGGGGCCAATTGGCCTCTCGTGCCTGTGCCAATTTTAGAAAAGCTACACAATCGGTCCCACTCTCTTGTGCTTTTGCTCAGTTCTCTTCAAAAATTACCTCTTCAAACACTGATCCAATTCCTTTTTGAAAATTAATACTGAATCTGCTTACGGTCCTTCAGGCAGTGCATTCCAAGCCATAAAAAATGTTAAATGTTTTTCCTTGTGCAAATTGAAACTGCAAAATTGAGCCATCAAACCCTGATTTTTTTCAAAATGAATTAATTGGATATGGACATTGTTGGCAAAGCCAGCATTTTTCACACATAAAGGAATGTGAAATATAAAGGGGTCATGAAAGATGAACTATACCTGATAGATGAACAGAGAAAAGGAAAGCACAGGCAGTCAAATCAGGATCAGACAGAGACAGACAAGATATAGGGAAGAAAAAAATAAGGAGGACAGAAGCAGCAATGATGCAAGGAAGATAATAAATGGATTAAGATAGAAAAAAGTTAGAAAGAAAGGGAAGAATCAGAAGAAGCAGGATGAGAAATTGCACTAGAGAGTTACTGAGTCGTGGCTCACCTCAAAGCTGATAAACAAGTTATAGTTATTCACTTAGGTGTAAATGTCATACACAGAATGTAGTTTAAAGCCCGTGAACGTATAGTTGAAGTTACGTGGCAAATTGAACAGAGGGAACCAATACTTAGTGATCCTCCCAGTGCGAAGCAACACAGGGTATAAGACTAAAAGGAAAACTGAAGAAGGTAATGTTATTATTTCAATGAAGAGGGAACAGGGAGAAAGGGAGTGAGGCGGAGGGCAGGGGAGTGAAGCGAAGAGAGGCAGAGGAAAAGGTGAGAGCGAAGGGCAAAGATTAAGAGAGTGGAGAAGGCAAGGGAGGAGAAAAGGAAGGAAGAGTCAAGAAAGGAAAATGGGAAAGGAAGGTGAGAAGGTGGATAGAAGGAAGTAAGGAGGAAGGGAGGGAAGACAAAGGAAAAAGAAAGACAAAGAGAATGAGAGGAGAGAGACAAAGGATACGACAGAGGGAGAGAATGATTGAGGATGAAGCTCTGCCATATAGATTTTCCCTCAAGCTTAAACTTTAGTGATGTTTAAATTTTATTCAGCTGTAGGAAATCATCTAAATCAAAAATTGCTTTTTTTGAACTACCACCTGATCTACTGTAGTGTAACTTGAAGGGTCTGCCTCATAATTATAATGTTTAGCTGTTCAGGTTTTAATGACAGCAATAAGCAACTGGACCACCAGAGGAGTATTTAGAATTTATAGAATCCCTACAGTGTGGAAACAGGCCCTTCGGCCCAACAAGTCCACACCGACCCACAGAGCATCCCACTCAGACCCATCCCCCTATAACCCACCTAATCTACACATCCCTGAACACTATGGGTAATTTAGCATGGCGTAGCCTGCACATCTTTGGACTGTGGGAGGAAACCCACGCAGACACAGGGAGAACGTGCAAACTCCACACAAACAGTCACCCGAGGGCGGGATCAAACCTGGGTCCCTGGCACTGTAAGGCAGCAGTGCTAACCACTGAACAACCATGCCGCCCCATATGTTTTTCAGTCGTTGGCAAATCTTTGATCAGAGCTAGACCCTGGCCCCTGCTGTGTTCTTCCTTTGGTGAAGTGCTCTAATTCTGTACATCATCATTAAAAAGTATGGAAGTCCTTTGATGAACAGGTCACAAAGGTTTTAAAACAAAATTCACAAACTAACTAGCCTTCTGAAGAAATTTTAAAAAATATTGACAGAAACTAGATGCAAGTTTTATACTGATTTGCAAGTTACTGAATCTTCCATAGGGCTTACTTCTTGCCCATGCTTCACCTGACTTCCTGTATCACAACTGAGAGTCACGCTACGAACGTAATAAGAAAAGTCAATGCCAGTATTTTTCAGTCATGCTATAACTGCAGGCTTCTGATCACTAGGTTTAATACAGTTGCATTCTGCCTCACCATATCTCTCTTTAGTTTCATCTAAATCAATTGTGTTTTGCCAATACCTAACACTTCCTCAATCCCTCATGGCACTGTCCCATGCAATTGCAGGTGTAACACTTGTCCATTCATCTCCTCTCTCCTCACTGTCTAAGGATCCTAAACACACCTTCCAGCATTTTACTTGCATCTCTTTCAATCTAGTCTACTGTATTTGCTGCTCACAATGTGGTCTTCTTTACATTGGCAAGGCCATAGGCAGACTGGGTGACCGCCCAGCAGAACATCTCCATCTCTTGTGAGGAATGACCCTGATCTCCCAGTTGCTTGCCATTTCAATAACCCATCTTGCTCTCAAGCTGGTATTTCTGTTCTGGACTTGCTGCAACGTCCTCACAAAGTGCAATGCAAGCTCGGGGAACAACACTTCACTTTCTGCTTGGGCACTGTATAGCCTTGTGGCAACAAAATTAAATTCCATAACTTCAGAAACTAAACACATTATATCCATTCTCTATTTTTCTTACATTCTCTCCTGCCTTTCCCTCTCCTTCCCCCACCCAATCCAGACCCTTGTCTTGACTGTGTCTTGTTTACTTTGCTCTTAGTAGGGCATTCTCTCACTTTCACATCTTAATTCACACCAATTTTTTACATCTTTTCTCTTTCATCACTATCTACAATTCCTTTGTCTTTTGCATGGGGCCTCTCCACAAAGAGCCCTTGCTCTCCCCCTGCCTGTCAAAATTATTTTTACAACAAGCACTTTCCAAACCCTTTCAGCTCTGAAGAAGTCAGATCAGACTCGAGATGTTAACTCTGTTTCTCTCTGCTGAGTTTCGGAACAGAACTGGGAATGACACAACCCAACTTAACAGACCGGATCATATAAACACCAAGCAAAGTAGAACATCACTTCATTGGAGGCTGCACTGAGGATGCTACCTAGCATGGTAGCAAAACGTCTGTACAGTAACCAGCCAGCTCGGCAAGCAAGCCAACAACCTCATCCACAACCCGAGCTACAAATCTACACCAGAACCTTATGTTGCTCTACTGGCAGTTCCACTGTTTGTTGCTGCCATTACATTTTAAAGTATATTCCTTGTTTTTAACTATCAACTGGCTTAGTCTCTGACTTCAGCTCTGTTAATTTAAACAATTGCCTGCCCCTGGTTCTGCCCTGGGACCTTATCTCAGTAGAGTTAGCCCTCAGGTCTCCTAAAGCTAACAAATCAGTGCTCCTTGTCATAACACTTCTGTTCATAGAAAACCTTAATCACCCAGAGTAAGACAATGGGAGAAATATTTGGGTATTTAAAAAAAAAATTCTTTCATGGGATGTGGGCCTTGCTGGATGGGCTAGCAGTTATTTCTCATCCCTAACTGCCCTCGAGAAGGTCATTGTGAGCTGCCTTCTTGAACCACTGTAGGCCATGTCCATAGCAAAAAAAAAACCTTTTGTGTTAGATGCCTCCTGTAATACCATTCACCAAAACATTTTACTGTTTTCCACCAATTTCTACACCAAGCGGAGTAGGATAACATTGCTTCATTGGAGGCTCTACTGATGATGCCACCTCGCGTGGTGATGAAACGTCTGAATGAGAACAAGCCAGCTCGGCGAGCAAGTCAAAAACCTCAACCTAAATCCGAGCTACAGATCTTTGCCAATACTTTAAACCAATTTCTTCTACTTAATTCTGATATTTTCATTTCTGTCACTCAATGTAATCATTATACAGTCATACAAAAGAATTTATAATTTGTGATTACACTTCTTCCAGTTGATTGGATGACAATCCACCCTGGGGAAACTTCCTCCAAGCAAATATGTGACAGTCATGTTTATTCACTGGGATTCACTCAGAAGACTATCTACGAGTACCAATCAGAATGCCAGAGTAAAATGTCCAAGGTCTTTTGTCCGCCATATTTTACAGACTAGCTGAATTTTCTAAAATAAGGTTTTGAACACAACAAAAGTACTTTAATTAAGAATAACAGGGGTATACCAGTGAGAGATAACATTTTCTTGGTACAGATAAGATCTAACAGGTAAGAGGTCACTTATGGGAGTAGTTTATCAAATAAAATTGGCAAAGGTAGCTTGGAAGCTAGATTTATAGAGTGTTTTAGATACAATTTCTTAGAAAAGCACATTTTAGGGCCAACCAGAGAGCAGACTATTCTCGACCTGGTAACATGCCATGAGACAGATTAACCATTGAATAAAATAATCTCTAGGTAGCAGCGATCCTAACATGATTGAATTTTGCATTCAGTTTGAGGGAGAGTAGGTTGAAGACAAATTTTTGAAACTTAAAGTCAACTACAAGGCTATGAAGATAGAGTTGGTTAAAGTGACCTGGAAAATCAAGGGGTAGGTCAGTACAATACAAGACAATAGGATTCAATATACAACAGGAACAGGCCCTTCGGCCCACCAACCCTTTCTATTCCAATCCTTATTTAGGCCTGCTACTTATTTCCCACGTGCAGTTTCTATCCCTCTATTCGTCTCCCGTTCATGCGTCTATCAAGATATGCCTTAAATGTTGCTAATGTGCCTCCTACCACCACCTCCACTGGCAGTGCATTCCAGGCACTCGCCGCCCTCTAGGTGAAAGATTTTCTCCACACTTCTCACCTAAACTTTTCCCTTCTTACCTACAACCTGTGCCCTATTGTACCTGACCTTTCCACCCTGGAAAAAAGCCTCTGACTATCGAGCCTCTGATAATTTTGTAGACCTCTATCAGGTTGCCTCTCAGCCTCTATCCTTCCAGTAAAAACAATCTGAGTTTATCCAACTTTGCCTCATAACTAAAACCCATCCTGGTAAATCTTTTCAGCACCCTCTCCGAAGCATCCACATCCTTCAGCAACAAGGATGTCCTCCCGACGTTCAGTGCCGGCAGCAGCAGTAGCAAAGCTCCTCTGGCAATCGGGAGTTAGTGCCAGCGGCAGCTGATTCGTCAAGATGGCAACGCCAGCAAGGTGAGATCTTCAGCCGACGCGGGACTCCTGGTGCAGGAGCAGGCACTGTTGGTATCATCGAGGCAGCAGCAGAGCCAGGGATGCCTGGTTGCAGTTGGACCAAAGCAGGGATTTCTGGTTAGCGGCAGCAGTAGTGGAGCTGGGGACTCCCGATTGCTGGGCGAGTGTGGGTTCAGCGGAGTCAGCAAAGTGGGCCAGGCAGCGAGGCACTGGCAGTCTCTCTTCCACTTACTGAAGGTGAGGTGCCAGCGTGGACTGGGTTGAAAAGACTGTTATTATGAACTTCTTATTTCATTATTTTACTAATTTATTTCCAAGATATGTAATGGTGGGCTTTTTATTTCATTTTCCTTATCCCCCCAAGAGTTGAAATGTCTAATAATGGGGGGCGTGCATTTAAGGTGAGAAGGGGAAAGTTCAAAGCAGATGTGAGGGGCAAGTTTTTTTTTTTTAACAGAGTGGTAGGAGTCTGGAACGCGCTGCCAGAGCTGGTGGTGGAGACAGATATGATTGGGACTTTTAAGGGACTTTTAGATAATTTTAGATAAGCACATGAACAGGCAAGGAATGGAGGGATATGGACCAAGGACAGGCAGAAGGGATTAGTTTAATTTGACATCATATTCAGCAAAACATTGTAGGCCAAAGGGCCTGTTCCTGTGCTGTACTGTTTTATGTTCTACGCAGCACCTTGCATTTGCCATGATTAAACTTCATCTGCCATTTCTCTGCCCAAATCTGCAATCTAACAATCCTCTTCACTCTCTGCAACATCGCCAATTTTGGTGTCATCCCCAAACTTATTAATCAGACTATCTAACATCTTCCTCCAGATCATTTAAAAAAATTACAAACAAAGGTCCCAGCATTGATCCCTGCAGTTATTGTTACTAGTTACCGATCTCTATTCTGAAAAGCACCCTTCCAACATGTCTGTCTTCTATGACCAAGCCAGTTTTGAAGCCATCTAGCCAGCTCATCCTGGATCCCATGAGACTCTACCTTCTGTACCAGCCTATGAGATATCTTATTAAATGCCTTACTAAAGTCCATAAAGGCAACATCCACTGCCCTCCTCTCAATCATTCCTGTCGCCTCCTCAAAAAACTCAATCAAATTAGTGAGATATGATATTTCCCCGCACAAACACATGCTGCCTATCACTAACAAGTCCATTTACTTCCAAATGTGAATAAATCCTGTCTCTCATTATCTTCTCCAACAGCTTCCCTGCCACTGACATCAAGCTTACCAGCCTGTAATTATCTGGATTATCTGTTTGCCTTCTTAAAAATAGGAACAACATTGGTCATCGTCTAGTCCTCTGGAACCTCACTTGAGGCCAAAGAGGATGAAAAGCTTTCTGTTAAGGCCACAGTTATTTCCTCCCATGGTATCCTGGGATAGATCCCCTGGGGACTTGTCTACCTTAATGTATTACAAGATACCCAACACTTCCTCCATCACTGTGCTGACCTGCCCGAGAGTATTCACACACCTTTCCTTAACCTTAACATCCCTCACATCCCTCTCTTTGGTGAATAGAGATGAAATGGTAGAGATGCAACAGCCAACTTTTAAGAAGAAATTTAACAATAGCGGAGTACAAGAGCAGTAAGAGTATGCTCAAGGAGGAAATCAGGAGGGGACTTGAGATAGCTTTGATGTCTTGAAAAGTGTCTATATTACAGAAGAGGAGATGCTCGAGGTCCTAAAATGCAATCAGGTGTATCCCCAGAACTTTGTGGGAAGCTGGGGAAGAAATTGCTGGGCCCCATGCTGAGATTTTTGTCTCATTGATGGCCGCGTGAGGTGCCGGAAGACTGGTAGTTGGCTAATGTGGTGCCATTATTTAAGAAAAGTGGTAAGGAAAAGGCAGGGAACTACAGACCGGTCAGCCTGACGTCAGTGGTGGGTAAGTTGTTGTAGGAGATTCAGAGGGACAGGATTTACATGCATTTAGAAAGGTAAGGACTGATTAGGAATAGTCAACATATATTTGCGCGTGGGAAATCGTGTCTCACTAACTTGACTGAGTTTTTTGAAGAGGTGACAAAGAAAATTGAAGAAGGCAGAGAGGTAGAGTTGTCTATATGGACTTCAGCAAAGCATTCAACAAGGTTCTGCATGGTAAACTGGTTAGCAAGGTTAGATCACATGGAATACAGGGAGAACTAGTCAACTGGATACAAAATTGGCTTGGAGGTAGGAGACAGACGGTAGCGATAGAGGGCTGTTTTTCAGACTGAAGGCTTGTGACCAGCATTGTGCCACTAGGATCAGTGCTGGGTATACTGCTTTTTGTCATTTATATAAATGATCTGGATGTGAAAAAGGAGGAATGGTAGTTTGCAGATGACGCCAAGATTGGTGGTGTAGTGGACAGTGAAGGAGGTTTTGTCAGAGTACAACAGGACCTTGATCAGATCGGTCAATGGACTAAGGAGTGGCAGGTGGAGTTTAATTTAGGTAAATGAGATAAACCAGGGCAGGACTTATACTGCTCATGGAAGGGTCCTGGGGAGTGTTGCTGAACAAAGAGACCGAGGGATGCAGATGTATAGGTCCTTGGAAGTGGAATCGCAGGTAGACAGAGTGGTGAAGAAGGTATTTCGCACGCTTGCCCAAGTCTAGCAGTTGGGACATCATGTTGTGACTGCACAGGGCATTGGTCAGGCCATTTTTAGAATACTAGAATTAGAGCAGAATTAGAATTAGAATAGAATTTTTAGAATTCTGACCTCACCGCTTTTGGAAAGATGTTAAACTTCCTGAAAAGATTTACAAGGTTGATTGGAGAGTTTGAGCTACAGGGAGAGGCTGAATAGGCTGGAGCTAATTTCCCTGGACAGCTGGAGGCTGAGAGGTGACATTATAGAGGTTTACAAAATTATGAGGGGTATGGATAGGGTGAATGGCCAAGGTCTTTTTTTCCAGGGTAGGGGGAATCCAAAACTGAAGGCAAAGGTTTAAGGTGAGATTTAAAAGGACCTGAGGGACAACTTTTTCACGCAGAGGGTGGTGCGTGTATGGAACAAGCCGCAAGAGGCGGTGGTGGAGGCAGATACAATTACAACATTTAAAAGGCATCTGGAATGCTAAATGAATAGGAAGGGTTTAGAGGGATATGGGCCAATTGCTGGCAAATGGGACTAGATCAGTTTCGGATATTTGGTTGGCGTGGACGAGTTGGATCAAAGGGTCTGTTTCTGAGCTGTTTAACTGTAAGACTATCAAATATCCTTGTGAGAAGAAAAGATTACATGGTAACCATCCATGACTGATGTTAAAGATAGTAGCAAATTGAAAGTGTACAATTCTGCAAGGATTAGCAATCTATCAGAAGATTAGGCAGAATTTTAAAACTAGTAAAGAATGCCAAAAAAAAGCAAAGGGAAAAAAATATAGCATGCGAGAAAGCTAGCAAGAAATATAACAGTAAAAGTCTTTACAAGTAGTTAACAAAGGAAAAGGGGAACTTAAGTGAGTGTTGGTCCTCCAGACAGCCAGTCTGGTGAATTAATGTGGGAAACAAGGAAATGGGAAATAAGTACTGAACTGATATTTTGTGCCTGTCTTTACTGTAAAGGACACAAATAGTATCCATAAAATACTTGTAAAATCAAATAGTAAAAAGGGAGGAACTTAAAACAATTACAATCACAAGGGAAAGGATACTGAGAAAACCTTTAGAACTAAAGCCTGACAAGACCTCAAAACCTGACTGACTCCATCCAACGGTCTTAAAAGAAGTGACTGCTGAGATAGTAGATGTATTGATTGTAATTTTCCAAAATTCCCTAGATTGTAGGAAGGTGTCATCAAATTAAAAAATAACAAATTAAATTCTTCTATTAAGGGAAAGAGGGGGACACAGAAAGGAAACTATCGGGCGGTTAGCCGACACCTGTCAAAGTGAAAATACCAGAAACTATTATTCAAGAGGTTGTAGCAGGGCACTTCGAAAATCTTATTGCAATCAGGCAGTCAACATAGCTTTGTGAAAGAGAAATTACGCTTGAATTATTTATTCATGTTCTTTGAGAAATTACAAGCAATATGTACAGATGGGAGCTTGTAGATGTGTGCTTGAATTTCCAAAAACATTTGAAAAAGTGCTACATCAAAGGTTACTACACAGAATAAGAGTTCATGGTGTAGGCATGAATGGGTCAACTTCAGGTTGGAAAACTGTAACTAGTGGAGTGCCACAGGGATCCACTATTCACAATCTATATCAATTATTTGGATGAAGGGATCAAATACAAAGCAAACTTTGTTTTAACTGATACCTTATGAACCAGCACTCTCGACAAATGGTAGAAGTTATATACCTCAAACATCCAAAGGTTATTGTATTGTCATGATCTCTATGATGTCTGAGTAGTCAGTTGAGGGTGTAAGTGAAAAGGCTCTCTACCACTAAGTTTTATTTAAGGCAAAGTTGCATTATTATTTAAATGATTTTTGCTGTAAATAAAGTATAACAGTGATGTGTACACCCCCTGAATTATGTTTCTATTACTTGGAGTGTGGTTTTACATTGATTATGTGGACCACTTGATCAACAGGAATATTTAAGCAACCGGCACACCCTTGCTCCCATAGGTGCCGGGTTGATGAAAAGTTTGCTGTAAATGTTTGCTAAGTTTGCTGATGATACAGAGGCACAAACAGCAGTAAGTTGTGAACAAGGCATAAGGAATCTGCAAAGGGATACACAAATAAGTTAAGACAATGGGCAAAAATTTGTCAGAGTAAAATGTGGGAAAATTATAAACATGTTCATTTTGCCAGAAAATTGGCATACGAAAATGGAACAATCCCCCTTTCTTCCCCCTCTCTCTCTAGGCTCCATCTCCACCTATCAGGTCACTTCACCCCCCGTCCCGAACCACTCTCACCCCTTGTCATCAAGACAAATATCACATTTTCCCGAATGCTATCAGTTCTGAAGGAAGGTCACTGGACTTTAAACATTAACTCTGTTTTCTCTTCACAGATGCTGCTAGACCTGTTGAATTTTAGCAGAATTTCTGTTTTTGTTTCAGATTTCCAGCATCTCCAGTTGTTTTGTTTTATATCAGAGATTTACTCCATTGAAGTCAGGGATGAAGCGATTATCCAGTGAGGTTAAATCAAACTGGTTGAGTCTGCATCCATTGGAATTTAGAAGAATGACAAGTGATCTTCTTGAAACATGCAGATCCTGAAGGTACATGACAGAGTGGATGCTGAAAGAATGTTGCCTCTTGTGGAAGAGGAGAACCATGGGACACAATTTAAAAATAAAGAGTCTCCCTTTGAAGGCAGATGAGAACTTTTTTTTCTCCAAGCATCCTTAGTTCACTTTTTTTTAATTCATTCATGTGATGTGGGAATTGCTGGCTAAGCCAGCATTTATTGCCCATCCCTAATCGCCCAGAGGGCAGACCAGTAAGGATGGCAGTTTCCTTCCCTAAAGGACATTAGTGAACCAGATGAGTTTTGGTCATCATTAGATTCTTAATTCCAGATTTTTATTAAATTCAAATTCCACCATCATGGGAGTCGAACCCTAGTCTCCACGACATTACCTGGGTCTCTGGAAAACTAGTCAAGATGAAATACCAGGAGATGATTGCCTTCCCACAGTTTGCGGAATTCTCCTCTCCAGAGGGAAGTTGTGGCAAAGTTATTGAATATTTTAAAGGCTGAGTGAGATAAATTCTTGATTGACAACAGAGTAAAAGGGTAGAAGGGGTAGACAGGAAAATACAAGTCAAATCAGATCAGAATTGCTTCAGTATTTTTGTTAACATTTCTACATGAAGACCTTGGCTTCAGAGAGAGTGTATGTGAAGTACACAATTTCCCACAGTACATTAACAGCAATTTTATACTGTTGGTTATCTCAATTCAGAATTTCTTGCAAAGTACACTAAACAACAAATTTTCTTTTGTTTTCCTGACATAATTTTATACTTCAATCATTCTCTGTAGCTTAATTAAACTATTCTGGGTTTACCTCAGGAAAAAAGAAATGAGATCTGTTGAACTTACAATGCCAAAATGAAGGATGTATTTTTGTCCACTGAAAAGTCCCTTCTATTTTCATTTTGGCTTCACTATAGATATAAACCTTTCGCTTTTCTGGTAAATATATCAGTGTTCAGATAAAGGAAGCAGGGGAGAGGATGAATGAGGAAGGTTAAAACAGAAGGACAGAGTGTGACAAAGGAGAAAGACAAAGTAGGAGGGCAGAGGGAGTGACAGATATACAGAAATCATAAAGTACAAAAAGAGAGCGAGAAAGAGCATGAGATAGAATGAGTGAGAAATACAAATGACAACACAGAAAGAGATAGCAGAAAGCCAGAGAAGGTTTAAAAAAAAAGCGAGGCACTGAGGATGCAGAATACGACAGAGGGAAATTGGGGTTGGGGGTACAGGGAAGGGGGGGGGAGAAAACAGAGAGGGGGGGGAGGGGGAGGCAGACATATAGTAACAATGGGACAGAGAAAATCCAAGATAAAGTGGGCGTGCTGTGCATGATGCAGAAAGAGTTGGGGGATGTGTAAATTAGGGGGCCTGATAATTCAATCTGCATAATGTCCCTGTTATACAGTACATTCATGCATTCAGTGATGCGGTGACACCACTGCTAATAGACAAATAGATAGATTATAAATGTCATTAAATGTGCACTTTGAGATTTGCAACGACATCATAAGTGCAATATGAACAGCCCAAGAATTCTCTGCATTCTTCATGGGACATGAAGGCCGTACATGTGGTAACACCAAAAAACAGTCCAGGTGAATACAGCAACGTCTAGGAATTGAGCAAAGCCAAGCCCCAGGTTCCCAAGCGTGAGCCTCTGTGAACAAATTTGTTGGTCTTCTAAGAAAGTGGAGAATTCTTTAATTCACAGCTTTGCTCAGGAATTATTTGTCTGTTGTGTTAGAAATCTTATTTTACAAAGCAAGATGGCGGCCAAAAGGATTCCTCCTCACTCTCAAAGTATTTTAAATAATTTAAGTAGTTCCCCTTCTCCTCCTTGTTGCTTGTTTATTGGGAACTACTTACATATTCATCATTACCACTTCTATTACCTCTTCAGTAACATTTCAGACAACAATATCATTCAACTTATAACAATTTGTTGTTTTGCATAGTCAGATTTGAGCCAATTAAAGATGCGATGTACACTTTGCATATATGATACTTGGAAATGTGACTGATACTTCTAAGTCTTAGTTATTTCATTATGTTAAAAAGCTGAACAATGAACTAAGAGATAGTAAGAACTGCTGATGCTGGAGTCAGAGATAACACAGTGTGGAGCTGGAGG